CCCACTGCACAGTTGTCTCTCTCTCTCTCTCTCTCTCTCCCTTAAATGTTGGATGCAACTGGTGTAATAAAATTGTATAAACCAATGTTGGGAGAAGTAATCCAGTCTGTAAGGGAAAGTTGAAGGGGAGTTGTATGAGGTACTTCTCCTTATTTCAGTGCATTACTTCAGCGTGGACAGTAAGCAGTGCACTGCTGTGGATGGGGGTCGAACCAAAACCTATTTTAGCCACCTACAATAACGCCCACCTGAAAAACTCAAAATTAGTCTGAGTGTACGCTATATTTAGAATATTTAAACCTCTTTACCTTGCTGCAGACCGCTCTTTCTGACGGGAAACTGATGCATTTATATTTGACAAAGAAACGCAATTTTCCTTGCAGAATAGGGGAGTAGCTGCCACCTTGAGCCGTTAATCTGTGTTATTGTGTGACTTTGGTGTTTTAATATGTTAGTTTGGATCCAAACTACCATTAGTTGCTGCAGATACTGTTACATTTCCCTTTACAAAACACATTTTATTGTATTTTTTGGGGGGAATTTTGTTTATTTGTATAGTAACAATTGGATTCAAACCATGAGGAACCTCAGCCTTGATATGTGGTACGTACTCTACCCAGTGAGCTACCGGGACACTCATTAAATACATTTTATATGTTTGTATGTGTTTAATTTCATATAGTGTTTGACAAAGCTGGACATGAGGATCTAACTTAATGTTTTCGATCACATTTTGAATTCAAATACATAAAAAATCCAGCATCTCTGTTAGGCTAGTTATGGAAAGAGAGTCTGAGGCTCGCCATCAACACAACTTCTCTTAGACTATCCGACAGTTCATTGCCTTCATCACTCTGGAGGGGAAGACCTTCCACGCTGCTCTGCCGAGAATGGGAAGCCCAGGATGTGACTTGTAAACGTCTCCACAGAAATCTCATCTGGGATCGCACACTCCAGTGAAAAGTCTCCACCTGGACACACACATCAAAAAGTGAGGTTGTTTATCAGCTGTTATGTTAATTCTCAGGTTATGGTTTGTGAGTGAGGGTTTCTCCTACATACTGTCAGATTTGTCTTGCTCAGAACCTCCCCCTACTCCTTCTTCTTCCTCTTCTTTGAGACCTAAAAGTGTTGTGAAACACTCTGTCACCTCTTCCTCCGTCATGTGTTCTCCTGTCACAGATAATATCAATTTGTGACTTTGTGCCATATTGACAATGAAACATAAACATTGTATGTGGAAACTGGAACGGAGAATCAAGACTTTGACAGCAATACAGCTAAAAACAAACAGACTAATCCATTTCTGCAGCGTACCTCGAACCTGTAGAAGTTCTAGCAGCTCGTGTCTTTTCAGAATAGGCCGTTCTGTACTATCACAGTGACCAAGGACATGAAAAGCTTGAGCAAACTCATCGCTAGAGATGCCGAAAGCTGGTCGGTGGTTGACATACAGCTTGATAAACTCCTCCAGGTCGATGTCAGTCACATATTGTCCTGTTTCTGCATACTTGCTGAACTTGACCTCGTTATGCATATCTTCTATCTGTAAATACAAAAATAACAACAAAGCAGTTTGTAAATACAGGCCTGGGGTGTAAAACCACTTTTTTGTAATGTTTTGACATACTGAAATATGTCACTTGATTTACAAACGTTGTACCTCTTGCTCAGTAGGGAAGTAGGCCACAGCTCTCATTAAAGAGGGAACCTCTGACAGGGGGATTTTGGTAGACGTTTGTCGTTTCTCCATTGAGTCAGTGCCTTGATGGCGGACTTGGCAGTAATAGAAAAATTCCTCCATCTCCTGAAGACAGAAAAGCGTAGAAAACTGAGAATCTGTGATCTGTGGTTGGTCAGAAATGACCGTCCAAAATCTTAGCTGGAGGAGGAACTACAAGTAAAGACTTAATATTGTGGCTTTGTATAATCCAGAAATATAATATATATGTGAATATAAGCAATAGGGCTGTGTATTGTCAAGGATCTGGCCATGATATACATTACGATACAGGGGGTCACAATTCAATATATCAACATATTTCAGTGTACACTGCAATAGCAAGGTGATAGATTTCAGGAAAACTGTAATAGTATAAAGAACGCACCAATATATGAATACAATCTGAGTTTGAAGTTCATCATAGCACTCATTTTACATCTGCAGCACTGCTCTCTAGTATTTAGTTAGTTAACAGTATATAAACACAAAAATCAGTCAGTCAATATCATGATACAATATTTTAAATATTTTCTTACACTCCTAATAAGCAACGCTGTTCACTTACAGACAACATTTGTGTGTTGAATATTATATTCTGCCACAAAAACATCCACCAGTCATCTTCACCATCAAACAAACCGATGTAAAAGGGAAATCAATATAAAATGGCACTAATAACTACTAATACCAATACAAAAGCTCAATAAAACTCTCACTGTGTAGAGAAACCAGCACACTGAAATACTAACATAACAAAGTAAAACCACAACACAAATGTGTCTATAAAATTACTTTAACCAAAAAAACAACAACAGATTATTTCAGTTAAGTAAAAAATAACATGCACAACTTTAACAAGCTTGTTGGCACTATGACAATATGAGGTAACGTGCTCCTCATTTCAAGCTAATGGAATAACCCGTGACTGTTTACTTTACACTTCGCAGTCATAGAGAGCACTCACCCTGTAGAATAAGCCATCTCTGCCTCCCTTTAAAAGAGTGTAAAAGGGCAACAGGTCCTTTCCTCCCAAGGCAGCTGCTGCCTCCAACGCGCTGCATTCACGACAAGAAAGAGGTTAAACTCTGGAAAACATGATTACACTGCTCATGCGTTACCCCTGGTTCTCGGGTCAGTACTATTGGACCTTACTTTAAGCTTATCTCCCACGACAGGACAGTGCAGTCAGATCCTCCTGCAGTGAAAACAAATCGGCCGTCGTGGGAGCAGGCAACAGCAGACACCCCTGTCGGGTGGCAGATCAAAGCATTGGATCTGTAGGGGTTCCCGTCCAGAGGCAAAATCTGGAGACCCACCTGGAAATACATCACAGTCTTGGTGGCAATAATGGTAATCGGTGTGCCTTATCAAAACTGGGCTCCAAACACGACTACATTTAAATACAGTTGAAAGGCCCAGGCGTCAATCTCACAGAACAGGATTAAACAGAACATATTCACATAATGTGTTTGTGACATTTAACGCACAAAGACATGATCAAAGATTTTTTTATTAACACCGACAAGAGCTCGGGCTTGCTTTTTATAAAAGAAAAGACAAACACTTTATTTATTTTATTATTTTTAAGAGTAATAAATGACTTATTTTAGATTTTATTTGATAAAATACAAACAAAAAATATAGCAGATTACTTAATAAAATACAACAAATTAATTCCAGCACTGACCTGGTCCTCTGTGATGTACGCCAGGTAATATGAATTGGTCTCAACTTCTTTAGACATGGGAAGAAGCACCACTTTCTTGATGGGAGAGCCATATGTTGGACCGAGAAGCGTCTTTCTGTTTTTAATAAAACACACAATAATACAGTTTTCCAGTACTTGCCATGAGTCAGATATATATAATTCACAAACAATCCCATGTTGTTACAGTATTTCACAGACCTGCACATCTTGGTAGTGCTGTTGAAAAGCTTCATCTTGTATCGGTCTGAGGCGATGAGAAGAAATTGCTCCGCGGTGAGGGGAGGATACCAAGTCATGCACATTGGCACGGCGCTTTGCTCGATTTGCTCCGAGCTCAAGATGAGAAGATTATTCACATCACTGTTTTCCAAGTCATACTCCACCTATTATTCACAAGGAGGTGTGTGCGCTAAACATTTGGCATAAAAACAGCATCACAAAAACACAGAACCAGTCCACAGCTCTACAACTCTGACAAGTCGCACTAACCAGTCGGCGGTCCATTCCCAGAGAGAGCAGTCTGGGTTGGGTGCTGTCCAGGTGAACCCCAAAAAGGAGGTCTTTGATGGGCTTGAAGTGGGAGCGGTATCTGCCTACATACGTCCAGCGAGGCAAAGAGTCTTCATTGGTCTGCAAGCGGAACACCGTCACTGCTTTTCCAGCATCCTAACAGTAAAACAGGAGAATAAACACACACACACTTCAAGTTATAAGAAGAGCTTTAACAATGTATCACAAATTCCAGTCAGCACCACCGTTGCCAATAACAAAGTCCAAGTTAAGACACGTTACACTTCATAATCACTCACCGCAGTGGCAAGATACTTTGAGTCAGAAGAGAAAGTGATGTGATGGATGCTGTCTTTAGCGTAATGGAAACACTCCTCTGGATCACTTTGTAAAGTGGTGGGATTCAGTATGTGAACAGCTCCACTGCCGAAGCCAACTGCCATGTATAATCCTGTTCAGGGACAAACAAAACAAACAAAAAAAAGCAGCAATTTGCAGATTCATGTAGCAGCTGGTTTATATACAAAACATTTGTTTGATTGCAAAGAAGGTCAGTAAGCGTTTTGGCTCACCTTGAGGGTCAAAAGTGATACACTGAATCTGCTTCTCTGTCGTGAAGACCCTGCTGCAGATCATCACTTTGTTGTTATAGTCCCACAGTTTTAAAATACCCCTTTGATTGCCCATGGCTAGAGCTGGCTGTGTGGGGTGGCAGGCCACTGCATGTAGAGGCTCGCAGTTCTCCTGCAGAAGGATTTGAGGGATGCCTTTCTGTGTATTCACGTGTACTACTGTGGAACTGACTGTGGACACAACAAAGTTCCTGCAGAAAAAGAGAGGTCAGCTTGAAATCCACACAACAGTTTGGACTGAAGATAGACAGTATTTCTCCTACCTGATTAGTAAAGGCTTTGCCCCCACAGCGCAAACCTCCAGGTATGCCTCTGTGCACTCTTTGGAAAAGGAAATGGAAACAATAGCGTCCAGGTTGAAGTCGCTGTAGCAAATGAGAAGCCTGAATTCTTCATCATAAAACTTGATATGGCCTTGAGTGTCACCAGTCACGATACTGCTGTAATAACAAAC